GCCACCAAGTACGCCAACTACATCGCGCTCGGCTCCAAGCGCAGGCACGGCTGGCACCTGCTCACCTACATCGAGCTCTACGAGGAGTGTCGGCGCGCGGCCAAGGCCTTCCTGCAGGTACCCGCGCCCGCCCGGCCGCGTTGCCCCTGCGTCCTGGTCTGAGGGAGACGTTCTCTGAGGCTCCCTGAGTTCGGGCATTCGAATCCCAGCCTCTCCACTAACCGGGTATGCTCGTTCAAATTACTCAGCCGCACTCAGCAAAACACACACGTGAAATGTTTGCCGAAAAGTTACTGAACCTCGCTGTGCCTCAGTCTCCCCATCTGTACAATGGGGCCTTTTGCGTATCAATATACATTTATATGTACAGTATTAAAAATATAAATTTTACATATAAACGTCTATTGTACACTTTATTTTATATTAAAGTGTATATAAAATGCGTATCCTTTATACGAGCATTTTATATACAAATATATAAAATAAAATAGCACGGAGCACAAAGCTTCGCTCCAGGCCTCAGTGAGTTGACACATATCAACCAGCCCCAGGCGGCGGCTCTAGCTGTTACCGTCTGGTTAGTATTGTTTCTCTTTTCCAACGTGTCTCATTTCCGTAGCAAGGTTTTCCAGATCAGCCTGGCTCCCAAAGCGCAGCCCCCCGCTCCACTACAGCCCTTCGAAGAATGTTCTGCCCGCTCCTATGGCCGCCTGGTACCATGGCTGTATCGTTTGTTTGTTTAGCTGGTCAGTTCCATGGCTGTAAGGGGCCAGACTGCCTTGTTCCATGAGGGCCCCCAAGATCTAGGCCTGTTCCCCTGGTGTGTGTTCTGTGAATGAATGCCCATCTTTCAGATTAGGAAAAGGGATGAGAGACCTCGAGGGACTTGTCCAGACAACACAGTAAATCAGTCAGTTATGCAGGAGGTAGACAGTGAGCCGGAGCAAACAAAAACGGGGGGCTGGGGGTGAGACTGTAACACGGTGGCCGAGGACAGCCTCTCCAAGAGCGATGTTTCAACAGAGGCTTGAATGAGCTGGGGGAGGGAGCTGTGTGAACATCTGGGCGAGGATGTCCCAGGTGGAGGTAACATCCTGAGTAAAAGGTTCAGGCAGGATCGGACCTGGTATGTGGGAGGAGCAGGGAGGAGGCCCATGTGGCTGGAGCAGCCGGAGCGAGGAGGAGGGAAGGGGGAGGTGAGGGCACGGAGGCGAAGGTGGGTTGGGGGTGTGGGACAGACAGGCCACTCGGGGTCTCGTGGTGTGGAGGGGACTTGGGCTTTCACCCGGGCACTGTGGGTAGGGAGCCCTGGAGGACTGTGGGTAGGGAGGAGTGGAACCTGACTCAGGTGCTCACGGGTGCCCTCTGGCTGCCGTGGAGAGAAGAGACTGGTTAGGCTGAGATGAAGGTCGAGGTGAAGCCGGTTTAGACCGGAACAGCAGCAGGAGAGGGGATGAGAAGTGATCATATTCCGAAGGCAGAACCAACAGAATGTCTCGATGGACTGGGTGCCTGAGAGAATGAAAGGTGCCGAGGATGACCAGTGTCTCGGGCCGATGCACCTGAAGGATGGAGCTGCTGCTAACTGAGATTGTGGAAGGTTGGGGTGGGGGGAACATCAGCAGTTCTGTCTGGGCCAGGCCGAGTTCGAGGTGCCCGCTAGAGGAGGACACAGGGCTGGGCCCTTGTGATCAGGAGCAGAGTGGAGGCGAGAGAGGCCCCACCGGAGTCAGGTGGTTCTGCCGGGACGAATGGGTGGTGCGCCACCGTGGGCTTCCAAGTCAGTTCAGATGTCAGCACAAACTATCACGTGCACAGGCAGAGCCTGAGTTATGAGGATGTTCACCCCAACATCTTGTCTGGTAAAAATGGAGGAAAACACAGAACCCACCTAAATATCAATCGATATGGGGGATCGTTAAATTCTGACCTTTCTGTACTACGCAATGTTGTAAGGTGTTGTATTTAATACCAGAGAGAAATATTTAAGACTGTGACAAACAGTCGAGATGTAAGGTTTTGTGAACAACAGGTTACGATAACATATGCACAGTACCACCCTGATTTTGTCAAATATTTGTGCATACAAATGTCAGGGAGCATTTTGCTTGGATTTTTCTCAGATTATCTTAATCTAGGTATTGTTGACATTTGGGGCCAGCCATATTCTGTGGAGGGATCTGTCCTGCGCTTTGGAGGCAGTTTCTCAGCCTCCCTGGTGCCTACGCACACGGTGTCAGCGGCGTTCCCTCTCAAAAAATGTCTCAGATGTTGCCAAATGCCAGAGAATGTCGGCTTCTCAGCCCGAGGTTCCTGAGCAGGTGGGGGTGGGTGACAGCCGAGCCTCTCCGCACCTCACAAAGGCCTCCTCCCCCAGCTGGGCCTGAAGCGCTTCCACGGCGTGGGGATCATGGGGCTCAACTCTGAGGAGTGGGTCATTGCCAGCATTGGTGCCATCATGGCTGGGTAAGAGGCACCTGGTCTCTCCTGGGGGTATATTGAGGCAGGAAGCCACCAGCCTGGCAGAGGCCTGTCTCCCTTCTTGAGACCACTGAGGTCCCGTAGCAGAGTCCCCAGTTCAGGGAGCTGACTGAAACCCGTTTAGTCTGTGTTCAGTGGGATTCATCAAGGGCCCAGCGCAGGGCACTGCCCAGCTCACCCTTCCTGACGTTCTCTATCTGGTGAACTCATATACATCCTGTGAAGCCCAGATCCCATGCCCCCTCCTCCAGGAAGCCTTCCCTTCGAGCCTTCCCCTGGAACTCTGAGCATTCCTGTCCAGACCACTGGGAAACCCCCGGAGGGCAGGGACGGGACCTGGGCTGTCCCTGAGCCCTGCAATTCGCCGGCAGGCTCTCACCTTTGGGTTCTGATTCCAGAGGCTTCTCTGTTGGTGTCTCACCCACCAGTTCCCCGAAAGTCTGCCAAGTCATCGCCGAAAGCTCAGAGATGAACGTCTTTGTGGTGGATGACGACAGGCAGCTGCAGAAGATCATGCAGGTCAGTGGCGCCAGGGCCCGTGGGGTACAGCGGGAGCATATCTGGGGGGCGCAGCTGAGGCGAAGGCTCAGACTTTGCCCGGTAAAGAAATGGAGTCCAGGGAGCGATGCTGTCACCGTCCTGCCGCTGCTCGCAAGCTGGCCACGGGGCGTCCGCGGGCAGACCGGTCCCGGGGCCCCTAAGAGGCGCCTGGCGTGCGCTGTTCCTGCCACGTGGCCCTCATGCCGCTGACCGCTTCCCTGGTGCTCGGTCCTGAGACTCGGATCCGCCCTGCCCCCCGTGTTGGCTCCGCGCTGACCCTCAGCCCGCCCCAATGACGCTGGCAGCAAATCCAAGCTGCGGTCACTGCACTCCCGTGGGCGCGGGAAGACGGCGCATGCGACGATCCGCCTTTAATATAAACAGTGGGGCGACGGCAGGAAGGACCCGCAGCGCTGAGACCCGAAGCCCCACGCCGAGGCCTGCGTCCCCTAAAACAGCCCCTGGGGGCAGAGACCGCATCGGAGCCCACTTTACAGATGCGCCAGTTGAGGTCCCGAGGTGTGGGGTGTCCTGCTGGAGGTCACGCAGTTGGTCGGAGGCAGAGCCAGGACCCAGATCTGCCCACTGCGAGCAGATCCCGCCCCGCCCCCCGGCTGCTCTCTTTTCATCATTGTGGTAAAACATACAATTTCCCACCTTAACCCTGTGTGATATACTGTCAGTGGCATGCACAGTGTGGGGCAGCCACGGCCTCTGTCTGGTTCCATCACCTAAGAAAGAAACCCTATACCCACCAGCAGTAAGTCCCACCCCTCTCCCGCTCCTGACAAACCGCGATCCACTTTCTGTCTGTGCGGATTTGCCTATTCTGACATTGCGTATAAATGAAACCATGCAACAGCCCCATCTGCCAGGGGACCGACCCCGAGTCCCTTCCAGCCCAGGGCTAGCCCGAGCGAGGTGTTTCCAAGTTTGGGTTCTGTGCCTCAGAGGCCACCTTCCCTAACTCTGGGACGTTGGGCGAGTCACTCGGCCTCCCAGTGCCTCAGTTTCCTCACGCGCTAAATGGGAGTGTTAATATTCTGAGGACGACCCAGTTCAAACTGAAATGGGCTGGCACGGAGTGGCGCAGTCAGCGTTCAGTGCTAACTGCTGTCATCCGTAGGATTATCATTCCTATTTGATCTCTGACCTGGTGGGTGAGTGGGAAGAGATCCATGGGCATACGGGGCACCTGGAGGAGGTGGGCATCAGAGTTACGCCCGCCCATGTACCTCCCGCGTTCAGCCACCCCAGGCGCCTGGCTCCCTGGGCTAGAAGGAGCCGGTGACGGTACAGCTGCAACCTCTCAGCCGGTCCCTGCCTGGCCTCCGGCCTCAGCAACTCCCTATAAAATGGGCACCTTTAAAGGACCCACCACCATCTGACAGAGCATGTAGGCGAAGTCAGAGCCACCATGACACACCCACTGGGATGACTCGGATTTTAAAAGGGATGATACCACGTGCTGGCGAGGCTGTGCAGCCACTGGACCGCTCTCACTGTCCACCACCATCTGACAGAGCATGTAGGCGAAGACAGAGCCACCATGACATACCCACTGGGATGACTCGGATTTTAGAAGGGATGATATGGCGAGGCTGTGCAGCCACTGGACCGCTCTCACT